TTTCGTATGTCAAACAACTTGCAGTTGTTTCAAAGTTACGACCTTGATCTGAATGCAGTTCGTACGACATACCAAACCTGAAGAAGAAATCACTTATAGCCGAAGCTACAGTTGTAGCGTCCTGATTTTGTATTGCATATGCCTCAGGCCACTTGGTGAAATAATCCATCACCACACAAATGTACCTGTTTCCAGGTAGAGTTTGGGGCAAAGGACCAGCAACGTCAATAGCTACTCTTTCCATTGGTGCGTCAACTTGATATAACTTCATTGGAGCACGTCCCTTATGCTTGGGTCCCCTTTTAGCACAACATGTACTGCAGGTTCTGCACCATTCTTCCACATCTTGCCTCATACCTATCCAGTAAAATCTCTGCCGTAGGTGACTCAATGTCTTCTTAACTCCAAGATGTCGTAACACAATGAACATTTGACACGTGTGTGTATACAGTAACAAACATTTAATTCTTGAACGTTTCGGAACGTACATATTCCATCTTCGGCAAGCTAAATTATTAGGTACAAACATTTATAAAATCTAAACATTTTATAAAAAGTAATTAAAATACTGAATACAACGATGAAGCAAATTAAAAGGCAACCAAATAAACAAGAAAGAATAGGATATTGGAACAATTGTAACAATATTATACAAGTTATTCAGAACAGACTTAATTGTAGCGAAGTTATGTTATTATTTAAAGTTGGGAGTTCATTTATAGTGGATAAAGTTTCTTCAATTAAAAGTTCAATATTGGATGATCCTGACTTTGAAATTTGTAAGGAAAATGGGGTGGTTGTTGTTTTCACTATGTGTACGAAATGTGGAGCCTGGTGGATTTGATAGTTTTTTACCAGTTCAGCTTGATGCTCTCATATGTTCGCAGGCTTGCAGGTGTAACTGGCTTATAGTTTTGCCAATGTAAGTGGCATAACAGCCACCACATGTGTATTTATTTATAAACGATCCTTGAACGCATAGGGGTAGGTAATAGGTCTTTCTATTTGAATATATTTTGTATTTTGAAAGGTGATTTAATTATAATTTGTAGTTGAACATGTGGATATAACGTTTTAATTATTCTTAAAATTTGTGACTTCACTATGAAACTTTGCTCACTTAAAAAGGAACGATCAGTCTTAATGGGAATTTGTCAACAGTGTATGGTTTCTTTAGGAGCTCAAGTTTCTGAGAAAGGAACTTGCGTGTTTGGGCTTGAATAAAATGCAAGAGATAGTCGTTGTTTACTAAAATGTTCTGTAAGACGGTGATTTCGGTATGAAGAGAGAGAGAGAGAGAGGTAGTTAGAACAGATGTTATATGTTCTGTTGAGAAGACTGAGGGTAAGGTTACGTTTGAAGGAATTCAGAATAAAACTGTCAAATCGAGTATGTAAGTCTGTATATGTACTTTTACGATCAACAGATGTTGTGAAATGGTTATCTAATCTGCTGATTTGGATATCAAGAAAAGGCAATTTACCGTTTTTTCGGTTTCACAAGTTAGATTAATGTTAGAGTGATTCGGATTTCAATAATCCAAGAATTGTTTGATGTGGTCCTTTTATTCTGTATTTTAATTACTTTTTATAAAATGTTTAAACTATATTAATTTTTGTATAAAATAATTTACCCTGTTCAATGTAGCTTGCTGAAGATGGAATATGTATATTCCGAAACGTTCAAGAAATATATATATATATATATTTTAATTACCATATTTGCGATATTTCATTCATTTGAAATGCTTCCAAACTTAGTTAATTCCATAAAACTCCGACGAAAGCTCCAGCGGTTCCATGCTCATTGCTTTTGGAGGCTTAGAAGATATTTCATTACGTGTGGATGCATATAAAGTTCTCTTTAACATTGCAAGTTTAATGTGTGTGTGTGTATGTTAAAGAAATCATAGTTTTCTGAACCCAGTAAATTAATAAGAGTACATTTCAGGCTATTGATATACATATATGCGTGCGTGCGTGTGCAAAAATAAAAAAGAAAGACAAATATTTATAATAATCAACTTAATTTTACTGTCCTGGTTTACATCGAGCACGTTTGTTTCGTAAAATGATTTATCTGGCTAATATATTCCCGATTAAAACTAAAACCAGCTGGCAATTGCGCACAACATAAGTGCGAATAAGCGCATGCGTTGTATTTTCTAAGTACATGCGGGTTATTAAAATCACAATTGTAGTTGTCTTTTTATCTTATAAAGGAGATGAAATTATATCAACGAGGTATTATATCACAGTGTTGTTTTATGAGTGGAAGGGAAAGAATAATATACTGCAATATTAAGAAAACTAGTACTAACAGTAAAATTGTCACTGTAATTTGAGGAAAGTGCATTATATTTTTTATAATGATTATAATATAAGAATTTCAGGTAAGTTGAAATAGGGATTTATTTTGTCTGAATAAAGTTTCAACTTCAAGTTTTAACAGTTTTAATTAGGAACGGGTTATAATTATAACTTACAAGGGGTACATTGTAACTGCTATAATAATAGTTCTGTCTAAACTGCGGTCAGTGACAAGTCAGTACTGTGGTAACTTATAAGTTACAATTTAGTGCTTATTTTAATGAACTCGTGTTCGTAAAAACTAAAATCCAGGTTACAGGAACATTACTTTATTTCGATTTATCATTGTATGATAACATTGAATTTTCATTCTTCTCCACATTTTGTTTTATTTTCTTATGTTGATGACATTTCCATGTTATTTTTATACTAACAGTAGTAACACGGTAACAGTAAAATTCTTAATTTGGCACTTTAACACTGAAAATGTCTAAGACCTGGTACTGGTAGCACATTTTAAAACTAAAGCTAGCCATATAATTTTTAAACTAAATTCAGTAGGTTATAACAATAAACGTTAGATATTACGACAAAAAGTACTATTTCAGTATTTGATTTAAAAGTTATGTTAAACTTCTATTTAATTGTTGTATGCACCAGCTTTTATCAGGCAAAAGTTACACTGAGCACCAGTACTAATTAAACATATATTTTACTGGACCTTGTTTTTAATATTGAATTGAGTATGGTATGGTTAATATTAACAAAAATATTCTATAAAACTATGTGGTATGTGCTGTGATCATAATTTCATAGCAGTAATCTCTAATGTTTATATGGAAACCAATTGCACTTGCAGAGCTTAGGCTGTTAGAGTACATTACTAATTTTACTAATAAAAAAATTAAAGTACTTTAATCTTTCAGATTCCTTTAGATAGAAAAAAGAATTATTTTGATTATAATTCTGTATATAACTGTTGAAGAATTTTTTTTAAATTTTAGACTTTCCATTCTAGTTAAGTTTCTGAGGCTGATGACATTTATTTTGAAAGGAAGAGTTCAAGTACAAATTTTGTAATCTGGTCCTCGGTTTTTAAAAGAAGGTGCTGGGGAAGGTTCTAGAAAATCGCATGCCTATTAAGTATTGAAACTGCTTTCTAAGAAATATTATTGTATGCTAAAAAATTATTTAGAAAAATATCTTGTATGATAGAATTCATTACATAATTCTCAGCATGGTTGTGGAATGGGGGTTTTCATGCCTTACAAACATTTTTATTGTATGGGCAACAAGAGACCATTTTGTCCTTCATCAACCCTTGAGCAAAAATAAAAACTTAATCCCCCTTTATTTTTAGAAAATTATCAATTCCCCATTTGAATTCTTATAAAGTGCTGACCTCCACTATTGTCCATTGCAACTAATTCTATAAGCTAACCAATTGCCCAGTTAGAAAAAGTATTTGAAATGAAGTAACATCTCTATTATTTACTTTGGTCAAATGTATGTAGATACATTGGTGTACAAAGTGTTGCAAATGTAAATATACTTTATTTTTGTAGTTGTCTATGTAAGATTACTATTTGTATATATAGGCTTGTGTTTATTTTTGTTCAGTTATGTGTCTGGCGATGGTTTTACAGAATTTAACACAACTAATTCTGTGTTACTTTATTTCAAGTAACAGAATTGTTCAGAATAATTATTGTTGGCATGGAAATGTTTAGGTAAGTTCTACTAGAAGATACCCCTTTCATGTTACTTCTGTATTTGTGGAAAAGGTTCTTTTCTTTTTTAACCCTTGCATAAAATGAGGAAAACAATTTTTGAATCGTGGAGTTTCACTAAGTGCCAGTGGTTTCAAGAATTAATCATATAAACCACTTTACCCTATTAGTTGAAGTTGGGATAATATCCATAATTAGGTATTAGATACAAAGAACGATAAGATGCTACAGAATACTAAATTAAGATCACTACTGATTGTGTGTGTGTATATATAATCACAGTTATTAGTGATCCTTATTGGGTCAGTATGTTTAAGGATTTAAATCTTGACCATTAGCAGCTATTTTTGTCTACTCCAAATTAGATAAAGTTCTTACCAGTTTGAACTTATTCTTGACAAACAAGTAGATTAACACTTTAGTATTCCTTTAAAACTCAGGTCTTTACACAAGCCATGTTCAAGTTACATGAATTAATTGTTTTCTTAAAATGCTGAAAAATGAAAACTACCTGCTAAAATGTGAGTTACCTTTACTTAAATATTTCTGGTTTTATTACTAGATTGAGATGATCACATGTGTGTTTACTGTATACCTATTTTCATGGAGATTAGTTCATATTTTAAATGTTTTTCATTTGATTGTGGTTTGCTTTGAGTTCATAATTAAGCTCCATTTGTACTTGAACAAAATCTAGTGATACACACTTAAATTACATGCATTTCAAAGTGATCTTAAAAACAAATGGAATTGCCAGCAATATTTTATAAAAGTAAAATATTATTTGTCAATTTCCAGTCAGTATATGTATGAGAAAAGATAAAGAAAAAAAAAACATAAATAGTTTCATTTTTGTTATTAAAATAAAATTTAGAGCAGAAAACCCTAGTTTCATAAGTTGGATTCTAATTCAACAGAAGTGTATAAACTCGCATTACATTTTAGTTATCATGGTCTGTAGGTATGATATTTCGAACATCATGATTGCTGGAACTCTCCATACATGCAATTTAGACATGTTGCACTGGACACTGTGACGGATGCTCCAAAGAGAATGACACTTTGTGAGTTGCCAGTTTAGTGCTTGGCATTTAAAACTAGTATTTTTATAGTTTCATTTGTTTGATTAGTAGTTTTCAAGTGAAATGTTTTATGTGTGTGTGTGTGTGTCTCTCTCTCTCTCTCTCTCTCTATATATATATAGTGTGTGTGATAATTATATGTATTTAAAGTAAAATGTAATTATTCACAGGTAAATTAGAAAATTTGCGGATTGAATAATTAATGTTAGGGAAAAAGAATGTAAAAAAAAAAGCATTATGTTTGTTGCATGTTACAAAAGCTGGAAAGTGCAATTTTGCTTAGAATTGTTTCGTGTAATAAACATTTGTAAAAGCATTGATCTCTGATTAGTCATTGCATGAGAAGGTAAAACAATATTCACACTTTCAAGATTCCACATTTTCTGCTGTTCCAGGTTTTATCAAAATTACAGATAATGTTTTTTGAACAAACAAAAAAAAAGTATTCATGTATAATATTTTTTCATATTTTTTTTCCCCATCTTTAGATTTGTTCATAAAACTGCAGTGAGTCATGTAAGATAATAGGTTTGTTAAAACTTGATACGATTGGTGATCTTAGTCTTTTAAGAAGACCATCAAATCTCAAGAATATTAAAAAGAAAACACAATTTTTGGAAATGTCTATTATGCTAAGAAGAGGATTCACTCTTAGTGGGGAATTTGGAAGTAACGTTCTATATAGTATCCAGAAACAGAACCATATGAAACATGTGGCTAGAGTTGCTCTTCTAGAAACCAGAACAGTTGCACAATTTGGTGATAGTCGAATCAACCACCAACTCAAGGAACGTCAACGTACCATAAATTCATTTTTTAACCACACATCTATCGACAAAGTGGCAGCCCAGGTACTTGAATTTCTAAAGTTTCTACACTTTTTTTTTTCTGTAATATTTTGCTTTATTGATTTAAACTTTACACGTGTAATTACAAGAAATATAATGTTTGAAAATAGATATTAATAATGAAAATAATGTATAAATAATTATAAATTGGTTTTGTGTTAATGACAAATCTAACCTTGAAACAGAATACAAAGTACATATATTCCAAATATAATGCAAATATTGAAACTATAATTAATAGTTTTTATTGTATTTTTTCTTCTTTAGCCTTCAGTGCGCTTAGATCCAGCTACTATCTTGTATTCAGGCAAAAGTCCAGATGGAAGTCACATATTGGTAAGTGTAAAATTTCCTTAAAACTAGCATGAGATTTATGTACATTTCATTTTGCTACTTGCAGTAAATTATAGAAATGAGAAACTGTATTCTACAGTTTTCCTTATGCTGTAATCCTGAAGATGTGGTCCACAATCCCCTAGTGGTCTATGAGCATTCTGAATAGGATTAGTGATGGTAAAGATAGTTTCCATATTAGAGTTTTGAAAAAATAAATACTTTAAATGAAGATATTTGGTTTGAGAATTTCATTAGCTTGCATACTTATTTGTCAATTCCACTTAAGGATCAGCATCCACAAATGGAGTTTAGAGGTATATGAATTTGTTGATTTGTGAAGGGGGTGAAGGTGAAGAATCTCCATACAGTGTGTTTGTGTGTGTACACACAGGGTAAATGTTTGTTACTTGTGCATATACTTGTTTGTGCTAAAATGCAAATTTTAAACTTCTTTGAAGAACATGGATGGTTGATGGCATATTTACAACATCAGATTAATATGATACACTACCTGAAAGTGTTCTATTCTTTTTACTTTTATTTAAATCAATTTTGTATATTCTGACTTCTAAGGGATTTTATCCATAATATGTAAATATTTTAATTTGTTAATCTTCTTGATATAAGATATGGGAAGTTAAATTAATTGACCAGGTAGAAAGCTATTACAAGAGCTAACTGATGAATCTTTGTAGTTGATAGAAGAGTACAAAGTAGCTCAATGAAAATTAAACGATTTATATGCTGGTTTCCATAAGCTGCAAAATCTAATTAAGTGTTTTTGCTCTCAATGTTCTGTTTCAATTGTTGATCATTTTTAGCCATGGCACAGTGACCCATAGAATGGCTTTGAGTAATTTTTTCAAGTACAAACTTGTAGCTCATTGTTCCATCTCTTGACCAATTTGAGATCTAATTATTGCTGTAGGTATTGAAGATTCTCTTTTGCTTAGCTTAAGCTAAGTGTGTGTGTTTATATATATATATATATATATATATATATATATATATATATATATATATATATA